CGCCCCACCTCCACCCCGCTCCTGTCCCGGTCCACCCCAGGGCCCCCCTCACCCGCTCCTGTCCGGTCACCCCAGGGCCCCCACCTCACCCAGCTCCCGCCCAGGCCTCACTTGTCCCTCCCACACTATTGATCACAGATCGTTACCCTCCTCCTGAACCTCCCCGCATATCTGAGCCATCTGTCATCACACAATTGATTTTGTTTCGAGACTTATTTTGACAAATATTTGCATTATTATTATTATCATTTGTTTGACCCCTCCTCCTCCTAACGTGCACTCGACCACCCACGAAAAGCGGCATAAATGGCCGAATGGGGTAATCTGTATCCATATACATACTCGCGTATAAATAAAGGCACATACAAACAAACAATGGCAATCTACAGAACCTAGTTTATGCTACATCTTTGATTTGCGAAATTTGTCTAAAGAAGTCTGTATTAACTTCACCCCTCGTGTGTGTGGAAACCAACAGACATATTTTGACCTTGAATCAAACCGATATTGTCAACACAACGGTTTAACTTGACTAAATGTTTAAACTGCCCACAAAAATCATTTGATTCCCCATATTGATACAGTTTTATCTGTCATCTTTGTATTTTGGAACACCCCCATTTGCTGTTTTGATACTTGGTATTGATTTGTACTCTTCTTTGTCAGTGGTGAGACTAAAATTAGCAATTTGCTGGTGTTGTCCATCACAAAAGATTTTTTGATTATCAAACGACGCTGCTCCACAACAAATATTCTTAGCACATACGTCGAATATCTCCATACTGATTACAAGTACTCTTATGATTTATGTATCTTAATGGCGCATACTGTGCTTATTTAACGTTTGTCATGTTATAGCTGTTTTATGAGATTTTAGAGAGATGTTTTAAATGAATGTGCTGTGTAAAATTAGCTATAACTCAGACTTAAGATTATCTTCCACAAGCTAATAAAGTTCATTTTGACTTTGACTTTGAAGGGGTACACAACGACTCAAATATCGCGTAGTTCTGTCATGACTATGTAGTGTCAATAAGGCACTTTTGACTACGCTATTTGATACAATTTACCAAAAGCCAATTTCGATACCCGGTGGGTGGGAGTTATTCCACGTCCTGACAGCGCTTAGAATCATTATTTCAGCTTGCGTAGTCCAGTGGTTAGCGACCCTGCCACTGGACCAAGAGGTTGGGAGTTCGAATCCCGATTATTGCCGCTCACCCGACATTCGAGCTGCTGTACAGGGTCGCAGTCCCTAGGACGCGGCAATAAGCCATGGTCCACTGTTTATTGTGCTTGTCGACTTGTCGAAAAGAGTTAGGGGAATTTCCCTGCTACGATGAACCTGTAAATACTCTACATAGCACCTTCATTCTCAACTGTCTCGACTAGTGGAAGAAAGCTCTTCCGTGAGCTAAAACTGGATCGACATCACTTTCCTTTCCTTTGTAACAGCCGACAGTACGTGATTATTCTACCCTCTCATTATCACAGGCACAAGCCGTGTGTTCGCAAGCTTTCGAATCACGGCGTAAAAAGCAACGGTTGAGAGATGACGACAAAGACTGATATCCGTTGGTTATGACAAGCGTTCCCCAGGGCCGACCGACAGTGATGTATCTCCTGCGTCTCGTTCTTAACTCTCAGGTCGGGCCTTTCACACTTGGCGATATCATTTCACTGGAGATACATTAATAAGAGCATTGCGGCAATGATAATGATGATGATGAATGTTTCTTCTTGGAACAAACGCGCGCCGTGTTCCTGTAATAATAACCGAAGCGAGTGATCTACCGGAGACTAAATTGGGCCTCTATGGTGTAGGATCAAGGCAGTGTTCACGTTTTTATCCTTGTGACAGAATAAAAACGAATAGACACGAACTGTCTTTTGTACCTGGTGCACTTAGGTTGTTGTCGAAAACCTGATCGATCTTTGTATTATCTTTGTGTTTTTATATGATCATAGTGTTTTAAATTTATGATGTTTTCTGTTTCTGTTAATACTGATCTTTGATTTTTTTAGCTGATGTATTCATTGCTGAATCTTACCGATAATGATGCAGATATATGTAAGATTTTATGCTACCTTTATCTAATTGTAATAATGGGCGTTATGTTATAAATACTCGATACATTTCATGCACGTCACTGTGACATGTCAGTCGATATTCAATACATCTGAATCTAGACGATGCAAGCTACATCTTCAAAGAAGAGGGATACGGAATATTTTTGTCTACCAGAGTACAATATGGATAGGCTGTACCTGTAAAACACGCTGCGTGTCTGATGTTCATAGTTGTGTTTGCACTAATGACAGTCTCCATGCGGGTAATCCTTACGCCGCGTATTCCATACCCTCATGTAAGACAGCATACGGAGCTTCGGGATTGCCGCTAACTTGTAACATAGCAGAGATCCTTCAGATGTAGAAGGTCTAGGCCAGAATGACAGTTGCCTATAAATAGGACCCTGCAGGGAGCGACCCGGAGATGTTAACACCCAGGCAATATTACAGCGATCGTTCTCCGTACCGGCGCGTCGCTTGTGGCACAGTAGATAGGGGAGAACTCGTAATGTTTGGGATCACTTAACATGCGTGGATCTCCATATGTGTGGCTGAAACACAGCCAACAGTGCTTTCTTTCTCCAGCCTATAGCAACCACCCTCCTTTCGTTACACAAGTCACGGAACATGTATCTTCGTACAGAGTCAGCCAATACCAATTTTGGGAAGCATTCTCAGAAAACAACAGGCTCTGTTGCAGATATCACGCATCAAAAGCGGCATTGCTAAATATGGAGATATCTCACAGCCTTGCGTAAGGTAGGATCAATGAAATGTAATTGTGAAGGACTGTGAGTTGCATCGCGAAGAAATGATACACCACTGTGTTCTAAAGCTACCAAGGTATATAAATAAATAAATAAATATATAGTAGTGTTGTGGAATAACTTTGAATTCTAATACGTTTTGTATCAGACAACCCACATGAAATCTGGAGAAACATAATGGGAATTTTTAGACTGTCTTTTCTAATAACAGATGAGACTTTTGATCAAGACTTCGCAACTATGGATAGTTAGACCAACGGCACTGTGTATCACGTCAAAACATAACCAGAAAAGATTGGTTGTTTCACATGTATCGCCAGAGTACGGGGCAAAACCGATGTCAGGACTAACGCATCCCGGACGTCGGTACCTGGACTCGCATGTTAAGTGTCAGGGTTAATAAAGAGCACCGGTAACGTCAGTGTTCGCCATCTCCAAACAGCTAATGTTTTGCTCACCCATTGGAAGAACTAGCTCATCACAGATGTCCGTACCTAGATGTCATGTAAAGTGTCAGGGCTATGAACACACCGGTACGTAGTACTCGCCAAACCCAAACCAAACAGAACAGGTTTTCTTCATACATGTATAAGGAATGGTCCATCGCAGATGTCCGTACCTAGATGTGCATGTAAAGTGTCAGGGCTAAGTCAGTAAGTACACCGCCATCCCCAAACCAAACAGAAACAAGTGTTCTATTGTAAGGATTGGCGCATCGTAGATGCCATGTAAAGTGACAGGGCTAATAAAGTAAGTACACACGTCCTGTAGTATTTGCCATCCCCAAACCAAACGGAAACAAGTGTTCTATTGTAAGGATTGGCGCATCGTAGATGCCATGTAAAGTGTCAGGGCTAATAAAGTAAGTACACACGTCCTGTAATATTTGCCATCCCCAAACCGAACAGAAAAAAAGTGTTTTCCCTACCTATTGTCGACACCACCGTCCCCACGAAGTAGAAGGCCCCGGGAAAGTCCCAGCGGGGCCTTTTGGAGGTGAGCAGTCCCCGCGAGGAGGCCTCGGCGTGCGCCTCCAGCAGGTGGTTCAGGTCGGACACGTTGATGTCCGGGTAGCGCTGCCGGAACGTCTCCAGGACCGCGTCGTACTCCCCGCGGTCCTCCTGCTCCCGGTCGTACTCGAACTCCGAGAAAATGGCGGCCCCGATGAGCATGTAGCCGGTGATGAAGAGGGCCAAGAGGAAGAACCTGGCGTTGTCTTCGTTCAGCCGCGGGCTGCAGCAGCAGCAGCGCGGCCATGGCACTCTCTCACTCTCTCGCTATCCCTACCTGCGCTGCGCCGGCTCCGTCCGGATCATCGCTCGTCGTTTTACACAGAGAGGAGAAGGAGCCTTTAATATATAACCCCGAGTAACTCCGACTTGATCCTAGGCAGACACGCGCGACAGGCACCGGTCGGCCATGACACCTCCCCCGTCGCGTTGTGTTCCCCTCTTGTTGTTTCAGGCCGCAATTCTCTCACCAGTCAGGGTAGTAATTACACCACGGACGGTGTGATGTGATGTCAGTGGTGCCGGCAGCCTTACCTTAGAAAATGGCTGGTAATTCCAGATCACACACACACACACACACCTCCTCCTCCGCACCAAATCAACACGGCTCTCCCATCTCGGTGACGGTGGAGACAGAGAGGAACCGAAAGGTTTACGGATCAGGAAAACAAACCCTAGACAAACGGTCCCGACGGCGTTGTTGATTCAACTTTGGAAGTCCATCTCAATGCTCCGCGGCACACTATTCGTCCCGGGGGTTTGCTTTTCATCAATCAAATAAATCTGCTAAAAACCTGTCATATTTGTTAACAGAGATCCAAGTATTCATAGGCTCGGATGATTCGGGACCAGTTTAAGACTACAGAACGACAATAACAACAAAACGTTGCTGAGTAACTGGATACCTCTGGCTGCGGCTGTTTTCCGGTGGTAAAGTCCCCGGGTCGCCTTGACAATCTGACGCGCGCACGGTGTGTGAAGTGCTCCCGTGGTTACCAGGGTGCCGGGTTCAGCCTCTCAAAGCCCGCCATTAGATCGGCACCGGAACGGCAACAGAACTCCCTCTTTCAACCGCCGACGGGGCTTCCGAGCCGGGGAAAAGGTGTTGCGACGCTCCTGTTATCTTCTCCTTTGTCCGTCCAGGAAGGAATTGCCCGGCAGACGCGGCCGTCTCCATAAATCCCCAGCAGATATCACCGGATAGCCTTCTCGGGCGCTGGATCCATTTTCCGATAAGGAATAAAAAGGGAATAGGCGAAAGCGGTTAGTGATAGGAGCCAATCAATACTGCCGCGCGGCTATGTAGGCCAACCACCGTACCAGGCATGAGCGATGTCAGTCCATGTTGAGAGAACCAACGGGCAGGTACACTGGAGTAGACTGGAGTGCCGTGACGGGGCTGGTACGTACGGCAGCGACACGTTTGAACACAGTCGAACCTACCGACAGAATGGCCTGGCTGCTCCGGTCTGTACGAAAGCACGGCAAGAACAACGTGCTGCTCTACTAGAGCTTCAGGTGCCTGGCCCTGGGAGAGAGGGACGAACGAACCACTGATTGCTGCCCGGCATATCCACGTACGTACGGCGGGGCGTAGCAGGCAGGCACTGTGCGTATCGTAGAGAAGAGGAGGGCTCGCTGTGGTTTATGATGGCCAGGAGTCCGGCTCTATAGGGGACAAACCGCGAGATTCGCGGGGAGGGTATCGCTGCGCTAGTCGCTGTGTATCTATTAGATTGCATCAGAAATTCAAGTCGAGTCCGAAATAGACTTGATGAAGTCAGAATTTAATGATAGAGTCGACCTCGTGTCATCGTTCGATTCATCAATAAAGATAAAGTATTGTAGCCTGAAGCACATCACATACAAAATGTTATCACAACAAATTCGACTCGTTTTCTATCATAAATGGTCATAGGATTTATCGTATAGTTGTCGACACGCCTCCCTAGAAATGCCAGTGGTGCTATAGGAAGAAATGGTGATATTGATGACTGTAAAGTACCTATAAATACGCCGAGGCGTATGACTTCTGTCAATTCTGCCGGTCCTGCCCACTGAGCTGAAAAATTAGAAATACCTTCTCCGCTTTTCCTTCCGAGAGCACTGCACGGAATATCAGATAGGGGGCGTGCTTGTTGCCAAGTGTTGCGCACGTCTTAAGAAATTGACGTTGAACAAGAAAATCGGATTATCCTCCAGCACGTGTACCCACAAATCATAACAGATTGATCATATAATGTCAGATTGTGAGGAAGACCACCAAGCACAGTTGGAGCATCATCACTAGAAAACGTCTGCAATTAAATGTGGAAAGATTGAGTGTAACAAGTCGTCCGGTGATATAGCTAGCTGCCGCCGCGCCGCGTGCCTGCGAAGCCGGTGTGTTACGCCGAAGGGCGGTTATACCGGCTATACAGATAAAGAAGCTGGCGTGTTACGCCGAAGGGAGGTTATACCGGCTATACAGACACAGATACAGGTACAGAAGGTACTCGTTGTATCTTTCTGCATGATACACAAGGAAAGTGATGATGAAATTTTATTGGACCAGCATTTGGTCAATACACTTGGCGGGTTGAATTTTTTGCATTGCACAATGTTGTTGTTGTTGTTGTTGTTGAAACGCTAAACAAACAGCTCGTTTCTTAGGCCGGTGTACGCAATGTGTCAAAAGAAGCAAAAAGGGGGGGAAAGTATCGAAAGGCATGTAAAAGTGTGCTTCTTTCTGATCCTTTCCACACTTTATGTAGATCCCCAAGAGACTGGTAGTCCATATTTGTTCCCTGGGTTTCACAGGTTCACCGACCTATATTGTCTAAATGTTAGCGGAAGAGTTACGTTATGCACATGCACCTGATAACAGTCCCCACGCACCAGATCTAATCGAAGCCAGTTTCCCCAAACCATACTCCATCCATAAGAATACAGACGATTTGAGATAAAAACCATCGTACGAAAGGCAAAACGCCAGAAAACATGAATTAGTTCCTGCTATCGCCCGCCCGCAAACAGAGTAATCTGCAGCAACATTCTGCGATGATAACTGAGAACAGCCCTGTTTATCTGCCAGCCATCCACGGGGCCGCGTCCCAGAGGTCAGATTGAATTAGAATCCAGGAATTGAGGACGCGATAAACGACCCAGAGAGAAAAAAATGATGTGACTCTCGCCAACACGGAGTTAATGATGTGCTCCTGGGACTGCGATGCGGTGACTTAACATGTGGACCGCCGATAACTATCCAATAAATATGAACACGAGGCGGTCTGTGATAGATGACTTGACGGGAACAAAATTAGTCCGAGGACGTTGCAGATATTTTGCTATGGAATACATGCACATTCTATTAACTACATGTATTTAGTCCAACACATTATTTCTGTATCTGTATAGCCAGTATAACCAACTTTCGGCGTAACACACCAGCTTCGCAGGCACGCGGCGCGGCGGCAGCTAGCTACATTACACCGAGCGACCTGCTACATCTTTGTTACACCCAAACTTTGCACACTAAATTGCAGGATTTGTTAAAAGCTTTCTACTGCTTTCTATTTTACGATATTCATTCTGCAAACCGACGAAAATCGACGAAAAAACTACATTCTATTCCAACGTTCCGTGACCCACATTTCACACCAAAGATCATCAGTCAGCTGCCGTACGACTTATTTGTCCTGGCATGATGTCATCATCCGGAATGGGCGTGCCGCGGTGTCATAGCCGGTGATCCTTGGCTGTACCCCGGGGACAAATGGACGCAAAGTTACCCTTGTCAAGGTGGACCGAAACAAGGACTTTGTTTTAGATCGGGTCCGAAGGTGGTACCGCGTCCTGCAGAATTAAACAACATACAATTTCCTCTTCCACTGCCTCAAATGAAAAGGTCAAACCCGACAAAACTAGTACCATTTATATTGTAGACTGTAGTACAGCGTGGAACGTAGTCTCTTATATCACTGTATTCTCTTTTTCATACATGTTTTTGTACTTGCAATTAGTAATTGCAATTAAGCTGGTGTGTTACGCCAAAGGGCGGGAATACCGACTATACCGATATAGATACAACCCTCAGGCAATAAACTCTTACAGTATAATAATAATACCTTGATAAATATTCTGTTTTTCTCCGTGGATCGCCTTGCGTGTGAAACGAGCATCGCCGAGCCGACAGAAGGTTTGTCGGTGATTGAGTTGACGGCTCTCCTTGGTGCTGAAGTTTGTGCTGTTGTGACTTCTACCTTCTAGTGTCATGATTAGGCAAGGTTTTGATATGGAAGCTTACAGTGAATGCTTGATAGCCATAAAAGCTACCATGCAGAACGTACTGGATTATTTTCGCGTACATAGTATATGAATTCGCGATAACAACAGATATTGCACACCGAATGAATATTATCACGAGGTGGCATATGATTGTTGACCAGGAAAAGTTTGTACATGTACGTTCTACGTTACATGTGTATGCGTGATACGACTGTTCTTTTGATATCTCACTATCTGTGCCCCTTATACTAGTGTTAAGATGGAGTGTTTAAATCTGACATACTTTCTAGACACATTTTGTCAACCTACGTCATGACATTTTGTAGACGTACGCTTCAACATCATTAGAAATAATGACCATGCTGTGAGAGTTAATGACGCCGTCGTGGATAGTGTATCATATGTCTGCATGACCGAGCTTGTCGGTGTGGAGCCAAATCCTCGATCTGCCACATACGTGAGAGGACAGGTGTTTAGGGCTAGGGTTGGGGTTGGTATTAGAGGTAGGGTTAGGGTTAGGGTTAGAGTTGGGATATTTGTTCAGGGCTAGGGTTAGAATTATACGATTGGGGTTAGGTTAGGTTAGGTTAGGTTAGGTTAGGTTAGGTTAGGTTAGGTTAGGTTAGGTTAGTTTAGGTTAGGTTAGTTTAGGTTAGGTTTAGTCTCCCACATCACGAATAAACCCCTCCCACCCCTTGTCTCAGGTATATTGGAAACCCCCAAGTACTATAAGTAGTGTCGGAGTCATGTATTTGGCAGGATCATGTATCTGGCTTGACACCGGGGTAGACGACCTCTTTCCCGTGACCTACAATTTTCTTAGATTTCCCAGAATGCACCTGCCGGGACCCGGATGTTCGACGGGGTTATATACGCCTTTTATTGCCCCCGTCCTGAATCAAGAGCTGTTAGTGCTTTATGAGCCGTGCTCTGTATCAGCACACGGATATTGCACACCGTATGTTTGATGTATGCGGTATTCCGTAATCACTCCATAAATC